TTTTCCCCCCCCCCCCCCCACCTCCAGGGACGGGAGGCCAGTCCATCGCAGGGTTACTCCTCAGCACTGTCGCCAGTATCTACACCTGGGTGAAAAGAGACTAAGTGGAGTTAAGCTCCTTGTCTAAGGAAACAACTCGACGGGAGAGGTTTGAACCCCTGGACCCTCAGATCCGGGGTTCGAGGTTTTTACCGCCCTACCACACACGCCTCCACAAGAAATTGGCTAACACATTAAACTGACAGCAGTGATGTCATAATGACATCAAATATTGTTAAGGGAGTGGAGCCATTCGCCATCTGGTTTACTTAAAACCGGTACAAATCGCGGTGATAGTGGAAGAAAATTTGATCTGTGCATGAAAGAATGATTAAAATGGTAAAATTCATTGCCGTCCATCATGTCCACATAATTTGCCATAAACAGGGGGCAGCGATCAAGTGCGAGAAATTAAATGATGGTCGTTTCGATTTGGTGTTATTCTTTTTACCTGTTTGTTTGTTTGTTGTTGTTGTTTTTTTTTTTACCAAAAATGCACTTTAATATTAAAAGGAAAGCATCAAAAATCCTATTTTACATCGATTAGTAGCAGTACTCGTGAATTAGTCCCTGAGTTTAACTACAAAGTTGATTTCAGTTCTGGCTGCTTGCACTTGCTCGATGATTGGAAGTCTGCTTTCGAGTGTGGATACACGGGTAGCTCCTGTGAATTTACATCTTTTAGACACGGGTTTTAATAAAAATTTAACATTTTCAGTGTTAAATGTTTTCCTTTTAAGCCTCCAGATCTTCCTCAAAAGAATTGGAATTTGTTTTATGTTTAATACACACGCAAGTAGTCACGTGGAAAACACCCTCACATTCTTATTAAACACGACGACGGAACGGTCACTAGGAGGTTCGAGCAGATGACTTAAGAAAAGACTGATATAGCCTGGGTCGAAAGTGGCCGTACAAGCACTTGTTTGTGGGATTGCTTAACTAGCTCATGCTCATTGCGTTTTTGCATATATTACATTCCGAATAATTATGTCATTCCGGGAGCCATGCCACATGCCATTACGCAAACTCATTCCTCCATTTACCCTCACCGATGCAGAATGACTTAAAGAAATAAATTAAACTGAAAATTGCGCCCTTTTTTGGCACGCCAATCAAGCAGCCGCTTTTTTAATGTTGCGGGCTCGACTATGATGACAGAGGACTCCTTTATTTCTCACGGTCGATTAGCTTTTTTTGCACAGCCACAAAGATTCTACTTGCCTTTATTAGTCGGGCTGCATGGCTACTTTCACTGTGCTTCACCGAAGGAGAGACGTGAGTAAAGAACAGTTTCAGTTTATTTTGGAGACGAATTACCAATAAATTATCAAGTATTGGTGTTTCAGCTGTGTTTCCATTTTAACTTTGTTTTAGTAGCAGTAATAAACGGACTGGCAAAGCGGTTGCTCCTTCATGTTGGCGAGTGGCAGAGACGCGCGAATGCTTTCCTGTTTGATTTATTTCTTTATGCCATTTTCCATATTTTAAATTACGCACAATTATGTCATTCCGCAAACTCATTCCGTCTTTTACCCTCGCCGTATACAAACTTGATGCGCATTCAAACAGTCAAACACGCGTAGTTTGACTTACAAGGGGATGCACTTACTAAACAATGCACCACCTTACTCATTATTTCTCTTACAAAACACAGCTTTAATCTAAAAAGATATTTAGTAAAGTGCGACAGTGCAGGTGTCTTGAAGTTCAATATTATTCTCAGTGTTGCATCAAAAACGCAATAGGACTGTTCCCACTTGCTTCTTCTCATCGTAAAAATCCATCCTCACTTCTAAATGTTCTTTGTAAGTCACTTCAATCTCTAATCTTCTCCTCCCCACTCCTTCCCAGCCCTTCCCACCTGTTGAGCAA